GCCAGCTAGCTCCCGTTCACAGGGCCTCCTGAAAATACAACCCAGTTATGTCTTTCCCAGGGAGAAGCTAGGGACTGACAAAGCAGTGTTTGCTGTCTGTATGGGAGGAGCTTTATAAACTGAGCTGAAGGCTCTATCAGGCCTAAGCCCACTATCAGAGCAAGCCACTTCAACCTGCTCATCCACGGAGGGCTGCCAAGGAAAGACTTGGTTGTCAGAAAAGTAGACCATGCTCTGGCCATCCTGCAGCATTGACCTGTTTGTCAGCACTTCACAAATTCTCTCCCTGGTTCTGTGCTGATCTGCAGCATAGCAAATGTGAAAGGGCTTCTGTGAGCAGTCCAAGCATTTGTTCCTGGAAGGTACCTGGAAAAAAGCTCAACTGCAGACAACTCAACATTGATTTGAGTATGCAAGCCTAACCCCCAGCTGATGAATTCCACAGGGTGAAGGGAGCAACCAAAGCCCCAAGCAGAGTGGGAACCAGGAGCAAAACCCAGGCACCCCACACTTCAGGCCTGTACTTTAGCACATACCCACATGGAAGTTTCTAAACCTGGTGCCACAAGATCTATGTTTCTTACTTCCCCAGAGAAGCAATTTTCCCAAAGAGAAGGAAATGTAGATCTGTGACACACAGTTATCAGTCAATTACATCCATCATCAGTTTTGGATCTGCACCAGGTCCTTGGGGAAAAAAGAGGCATCAGCTTTGAGCAAAGTATAAAATCTACATGGAGATGTTTACTCTAAAATAGCCAATTCAGAAAAGGACATTTGGGAGAATCAATTTGCCAGACAAGCTGATTTAATCAGACTGATCCAGGGATAAATAAGGTCTATATGTTTCACAGGCAGAGGAGAAGAGCTTGTTTTCTGTTTGGGACCTAAATTATCACCCAGTAACCTAAAGGCTTGAATTTCTCTCATACAGACACATCACCAAAGCATATATAAGTGGTAATACATCAGTCAAGGGTAAAATTCCACAAGGTACATTCACTTTCCTACCTCCACCCTAGATATCTGAAGGGAAACTTCTCTTTCCTTCCTCACTGCACCCTGCACCACTGCCCCAAACACCAACCCCCAACCCCACCTCCAGCAGCATGGCATGCTCATTTCTAGCAAGAAAGCAGTTTGGAGAGTTCTGGAAATAACAAGACAGAAAAGTAGGGCAGCCTTTCCCCAAGCACCACGTTCAAATCTGCAGGGATGTAGCATCAGACTCAGGGCTGGAAAGGGAAGGGCTGTGGCAGGTGCCACAAGCATCAATCCAACGCTGCCCTAAAAGACCAGAGGCGCTGTGCTCATCCACAACCCATCCTGAAGCATTTGCTCAGCTGGCCTGGAACAAATACAGCTGCAAGGGAGAATTTACATGTGTGGCAACTCAAGTTCCAATTAGCTGAGGAAATGGGTCCTGGGAGATCAAATTAGTTTGTGGCAGCAAGAATAGCTAATTTAGCATGCTCAGACAAGCAATTATTTCTTTCCCTAAATACCACTCTCTCCACGCACTGATGCCTCTCTGCGCTGGTCCACAGCCCTATCTTGTAATATCATTTGTGACAGTCTTTTAGGAGCTATTCTGCAGAGACTAATACAGGATTGCTTTAGTTAAACTAGCAGAACAAGCTGCAAAAACTGGTGCAAAAGGGTTGCTGGGAGCACAGATCCTATATGTGCTGGGCGCACATATGGATTGCAAAACCTAGCATAGTCTAGTTTACTAGTCTATTTTTTTGTATACATTACTGCTAAGCTCCACACAGCCTGAATGTTTCATGGCCCACACAAGAAGAGCTGCAATAGGAAACACTTAAAAAAAAATAATTTTAAAAAATCAACAAAAAGCAACAAACCCAGCATCAAAAAGAACCCACACAGTGAGTGATTTTATTGTGAGTGCAACTAAGCATGGGCACAGGTTGCCCAGGGAAGTTGTGCAGTCTTCATCTCTAGAGATACTCAAAAGCCACCTGTACATACGTGGTCCTGGACAACCCACTTTAGACAGCCCTACTTGAGCAGAGGATAGGACCCAGATGACCTCCAGAGGTCCCTTCCAACCTCAGCCACTTAGTGACTATGTGGAAAAGCTCATCAACTCACTCTGCTGGAGAGTGACTGCAAACAGCACATATTTACATCTTCATCATGAAGGAAAAGCAAGGATGTAGCAGACCTGTTTTTGTTGACTTCATATTGGCTGCTTTCCCAGCAGGAAAAGGGAAGTTTTCAACCTCTGTATCAGACTGACCTTCTGACATGAACCTCAATGCCTGTGAACAAACCAGTCCCATAATCTCTGAAGAATGAGGGCTGTTTGGATGATGATGGCACCTACAGGCCATGTAAAAATTCAAGTATGCATCAAAAATCTTTTCTTTGCACTCATACCTCAGTACATTGGCAGTAACAATTAAAGTCCTCTATATTGGTTGATCTGGGCAGAAAAACTTATGTTCTTATAAAAATAAACAGAAAAGGCATCTTTGCAGGCATAAGATTCAGTTACGCTTTTTGATGGACTTTTTTTTGGAACATAGCCCCCTTACAGGGATGAACTCTCCCATACTACAAGATAGTCGGTGTCAAAGTAAAAATCCTTATTTTACACTTCTTGTCCCTCATTCACAGGAACCACAGAATTAGTGGAAATTCTGTTTACATACAACACGACAACATTGAGCTCCTTATTTCCAAATCTGGTACTAATAAAAAAATAGAAGTTTATTGTAATAAACAAACACAGGGTTTAGACTTGTAGCTCATTAGGGAAAAAATAAAAATAAACTCAACTTATTGAGAGCAGTCAGGCAGACTCCTAAGTTCTTAAAATGTATCATACAACTCGCCTATTATCCAGTTAGGGCAAAGCACACAGCCAAAGTGACACCTACAGCTAGAGTGACACCAAGAAGAAACATCTGGAAGGCAAGCAGTAGTTCCTTTAGGAAACTGCTTTGGTCCTGCTTATCATTTTAGCCTGCTAGTAATTTTAAACTTCAGCCTTCTTGGACAACAGCAACTTCCATGGTTTAAAAGGATCCTCTGAATGTACACTAAAAGAGTACAAAGGCTGAGTTCCAGACACCCTCTCTCTATCCATCTGGTTTAGATATAAAGATCCTACATTTTTGCACCTCCCATGATTTTTAAAGATGAAAGACAACCAACAAACAATTAAGCTTTATTCTTGTGACATAGAAATGTCATCACATAATGTATCTTATTTTATTTATATCCCAAGAACATCACTGCAATTCCAGGGACTTAGAAGAATACACTGAATGGTGATCGCTTGAGTTTACCTTCCTGGATACGCTTCTCTTTACGATCCTGTGGAAGAAAGAGAACACTTATCATCATCCTACTAGAGAAGGACTTTCAATCAGCCTGGGATAACAGAACAGCAGTTCCAGTATTTCAGCATAGACTACATGAAGGTAGCACCATACAGGATTTTAAGGGTCTTTTCCACCCTAAATGATTCCATGAGTACAAGCTGTTTAAAAGTCAAAGACAACAAGGCACTTAGCTTCACCTACTAAAGACGTGCTCAGACTGACCTGATGTCTAGGTACTCTCACAGACCAGCACAGACCAATTCCTGAAAGGCATGTTTCACTAGCTGTGTCTCATAATTTGTACCTTAGTTTCTATCTCCTCCTTCTGGCTGAATAACCCAGCTTAGAGATCTAACTATGGAGAAACCTCTTAATAACTTGCCTAAAAGTGCCTGTGCTCACTTCCTACCCATTTGTACCTCACTCTGCAGTCATGCACCTTTCTGACGGGTACCATAACAATACACAGGCACTGCGGATAATGGCCAGATTCCTTCTGCTGGATAAAATCAGAAGATTTACTTAAAATCTGGTAATTTATCTCTTGCTTTCCCAGACACACAGCAAACATTCCTCAGAGAAAAGACTATGACTACCATGCCTTATGTACTACCAGGAAAACAAGAAAAATCCCCAAACATCACTAAAAGAACTGCAATAAAGGAAAGTGAATTATCCTGGACACTAATTAAAGACTTCAGCACGGCAAAATACTGCAGAGGTACTGAAGTCTCAAGAACTTTTATATCAACATATTCACATGCTTCCTAAAAACTGAATTTTCAATTCACCCTAGCAAACAACATTCCTTACAAATATTCTATTAATTTGTATTAGTGCTTTGTGGTTTATGACTTGATCTAAAATGCTATTTCTTTGCAAAAGAGGGAAATAAAATTGGTTTACAACAGCCACAAATTCTCTACTAAAAACAGCCACTGTCTGCCTGTTAGCATTTTTTATGTACTTATATAGCTGAGTTTTTTCATAATGATCTACCATGGCCTAGATTCTGACACTCACAGTTTAGGAGTTAGAATGGAAGCAAGATAAACTTTCCAAATTATTAGTACATCCAGCTGAGATCAGACACTGCAATTGGCATAATTACTCCTCCCTATTTGTTCCACTAAATTAGAGAAATGGTCAAGCAACTGCACAGAGACATTGCTAGGTCTGCCATCCATAAGCTTCCTGTGTATTTTAAGTCCAAAAAGCATAGTTGATGCCTGTCAACTGCTGAAAATAAGAGTAACTTAGGATTAATTTTCACACAGTGCTACAGAGAGCTTTGTGACTGTAAAATAGCCTGATCAGGCAAACTGTGACTGGCAATGCACGAAAGGGTACAATAAGGGGCTCTCAGAAATGGACTCTGTAACCAGTAACAGGCTGTGAGACAGAAGGCTCACTACCAGCCTTCCTTCCCTCACTACTTCAATGGCATTAATTATTCTTTCTTAGGCACACGAGGATCCCATAAACTGAGACTCCAAGCCGGTCTATGTTTTACAAGCTGGTGTTTGTGCTGTTCGCTGATGTTCAGCGTTCCCGGCCGACTTACCCTGTCAGCCTTTAACACAAAGATCCAGAAGAGGAGGGGGCCTAACCCATAAACAGCTCCTAGAAAGGACGTCCTGGGCGTCAGGCGGAAAGTAGGGTAGACGTTCTGCGACTTGGCATGGACCCAGCGGATCAAGGCGGGATTTTCCTGGGGGGCAAACACAACGGCGGTGAGGCCCGCGGGCGGAGGGGCCCCGCGGGCTGAGGCCAGGGCACAGCGGCAAGGGCGCCGAGGTCACGGGGAGGGCGGGCAGCGTCCCGCCGGCACGGCCCGGCCCCAGGCACGGCCGCAGGCGCGGGCCCCGCTGCGGGAGCCGCGGGTGAGGCGGACGAGCCCCGCGCTGCCCCGCCGCCCCCTCGCCCCTCTCCGTCCCCACTCACGATGACGGCGGGCGGGCTGGGGTCGTTGAGCTGCAGCAGGTACTGCCGCTTGAGCCGGGAGCGGATCGCCAGGCGCTCGGTCTCGGCGCGGAGCTTCTCCGGCGACGTGTCGAAGGTGGCGGGGTCGAGCTCGGCGGGGAGCGAGACGAAGCGGTTGGGCCTGTAGAGCTTGGCCGCCGATGGAGGCGGTGCCCACGCCATCTTGGAGAGCGGCCCTGCCGGCAGCGGGGGCGGTGCCGGGCCCGCCCCCCGCGCCCTCTGCGGGAGCAGCGCCCTCCCCTCACGGAACCGGCGCCGCGGAGCGCGGTGGGCTGGAAGGAGTGTAAAGTTCATCCTCTTCCAACACCGCTCCCATAGGCAGGGACACCTTCCATTAGACCAGGTTTATCAAAGCCCCATCCAGCCTGGCCTTGAATACCTCCAAGGCACGGGGCATCCACAGCTCCTGTGGGGAACCAATGCCTTACCACACTCAGAGTAGAGGATTTTTTCTCTAATATCTAACCTAAACCTACTCTTTCGATTTGAACTCGTTCCCCCTCCTCCTGTCACTATGTTCTCTTGTCAATAACCTTTCCCCATCTTTACTGTGAGCTCCCTTCCAGGTAGTGAAAGACCACAATTAGGTCACCTCAAAGCCTTTTCTTTTCCAGGCTGAACAAACCCAATTCTCTCAGCCTTTCCTCACAGGACAGGTGCTCCATCCCTGGGATCATCTTGGTGCTTTCTCTGCACTCTCTCCAACAGGTCCATGTCCTTCCTGTGCTGCGGCCCCCAGAGCTGGATGCAGCATTCCAGGTGGGGTCTCACAGAGCACAGGGGTAGAATCCCCTCCCTTGTCCTTTGGATGCAGCCCAGGACACGTTTGGCTTTCTGGGCTGCGAGTGCCCATGGCCAGAGTGTGTCCAGCCTCTCGCCCAGCAGCGCCGCCAAGTCTTCCTGGTCAGAGCTGCTCTCGATCAGCTCATCCCCGATCCTGTGTTGATACCGGAGTTGCTCTGACTCAGGTGCAGCACCTTGCACTTGGTCCTGTCAAACCTGATGAGATTCCCAGGTACCCATTTCTCCAGCCTGTCCTCACCTGCTGTGGCCCAGGGCACATCAGGGGCAGGTTTTGTTCTCAGAATCACAACAGTCCCAGCAGGTAAATTTTTCCTGTCCCCTGCAATTAAAATAATCTTCAGGATAAGTCACAGGTCAGGAGTGTTGACCTCTTTGAGTCTGCTGGGACAAGGGAGTGCCATTGCTGTGGTGGTGTTTACTGCCCTTTTAACAGTATTTCTATGTTTTAGAAAGTGTAGTTAATGTATGTCAAATTGCTGAAAATAAGTCTTTTAAAATTACAGGATCACAGAATCACAAAATATTCTGTGTTGGAAAGGACCCACAAGTCCAACTTAGCCCTGCACAGCACCATCCCCAAGAGCCACACCATGGTCCTGAGAGCATTGTCCAAGTACTTCTTGAACTCTCTCAGGCTGGGTGGTGTGACTGCTTCCCTGGGGAACCTTTTCCAGTACCCAACCATCCTCTGGGTGAAAGAACCTTTTCCTAATATCCTACCTAAACCTCCCCATGGTTAAATTTAGGCCACTCCCTTGGGTCCTGTCGCTGTTCACCAGAGAGAAGAGATCAGTATTCGTCCTTCCACCTCCCATCACGAGGAAGGATGGCAATTAAGTTACACTGTCAGTGCTAGAGAGAGCTTCGTTATAGCTACATTTGAACATTAATTAATTTTTGAGCTGAATAAAAAGTCCCTACATTTGAACAGTATTCCGTGTTACACAAGAGATATGTTGCAGGTAGACTGGTATTTGCAAAATCCCACAGTTACTGACTTTCAGCTTCAAACTGTCCCTTTGATTTTTTAACCAAGGCTGAGCTGACTGGACAAGCTGCCAGGTAACCTCCAGGATTCACAAGAGGTGACTCACCACCCTGACAGACTTTATTGACGGGTTCAGAGCTGGATTCACCCTCTGCTTGATGAACACTGGGCAAAGAAAACAAGGGTTTGACCTTGCACTGCTTTTGGTCAGCGTGTGCCCAAGTGGCCAAGAAGGCCAATGGCATCCTGGCCTGGATCAGCAGTGTGGCCAGCAGGAGCAGAGCAGGGATTGTCCTCCTGTACTCTGCACTGGTGAGGCCACATCTTGATAACTGTGAACAGTCTGGGGCCCACTCTACAAGAAAGACATTGAGGTACTGGAAAGTGCCTAGAGAAGGGCAACAGAGCTGGTGAAGGGTTTGGAGCACAAGTCCTGTGAGAAGCAGCTGGGGTTGTTTAGCCTGAAGAAGAGGAAGCTCAGGGGAGACCTTATTGCTCTAAATAACTATCTGAAAGGAGGTTGTAGCCAGATGTGGAATTGGTCTCTGGTCCCATATAGCAAGTGATTGGACAAGAGAAAATGGCCTCAAGTTGTACCAGGGGACGTTTAGATTAGATATTAAGAAAAAAATTTTCACCAAAAGGATTATCCAGCCCTAGAACAGGTTGCTCCAGGAAGTAGTGAACCTTCTCCATAGATACCTCCATCAAAAGACATGGCATGTGGGGACACTGTTTAGTGATGGATTTGGCAGTACGGGATTAATCATTGGACCTGATGATCTTAGAGTTATTTTGTACCCTTAATGATTCTTAGGGTTTGCCTTTAAGAGGTTTTTATCTTGTCAGTATTAAGAACTTTGGTGTCCAGTGATATAAAGAAAGACAATGCAAGTTGTCCTTCTGGAGACAAAGTAGCCAGTAAAGAACTTCGCTGTTGTGATTTCTTCTTCTACTATACAAAACAGTGATAGTTATGCTGATTGGGACCCAGTAAATTAATGGCTGTGCGTATATAGTTATGGCCTGATTTACACTCTGGTAACTGCAGACTCAGGTAATGTTGGATGAGGGATTACAATTTCCTCCTAAGCATACACAAAATAATACTGCTGACTTTATTTAAGATGCTGTGCTTTGGCAGTGCAATAATAGAGCACAAGCTCTTCCTCACATCCTACAATTTCACTCTTTTTCCTGAGCACTTGGAAAATAAATGACCTCCTTTTGGTTTGAGCAGCTAATTAGGAGTTGAGACTTGCTTTCAGCAGGATGAAACACAAGTTAGGTGTCTCTGCAGTTTGTGTACCTTGAGCACCCCCGCCATAACACGCAGCATTAGGTGCGTTGCCATCTCAGAAATCTCTCCAGCTTTCGCACCCTCATTTTCTTCACAAACATGTGTCTGAAAATCCAAATGAAAACCAAGCTACTTCATTCACAGTCAGCTCCCAGGGAAGTACTTAATCTGTCCTGTAGCTTTTTCTCCTGGGGCTTTCCACTTGGATCAGTGGCTCCTGTAGCATGGAAAAATACATTCCCTTTACTTCCCATTTGGTGACCATTGGATAGTGAGCTCTGTGTCTCCAGCTCCACAATTTGTGTCTCTTCATAACTGGCATGTAGAGAGCTGCTTTATCAGCATGGTACCTATACCAGCAGCACTGCCATGTGGCACTCCTGTGGTACTTTCATCTCTGAGTGTTTCCAAAGACTTGGCAGCCTGTATCTCCCAGCCCCTGCACGGCCTGCTGCTTTTAAAGCTGCTCTTCCCCTCTCTCTCTTATTTCTTAATAAAATGACACGTGCAGCCGTGAAACAGATTGATCCCTGGCAGAAGCAGGAGTGCAGATTGGATTAGCAAACTGGGAAGGGTTAGCTGCTTTGTGGGAAATGGTGGAGTTTTTTCCCTCTTTGCTGCATCACAGAGTGGAACAGAAGACTCCTGTTCCTGCAGATCTCCCAAATGACTTCAAAATAGCCAGATGCCTTTTCCCCAATCCGCTGACTCTCGAGGCCTGTCTGTAGTGATGTGTGACGGTTCCTGTGGGCAGGAGCAGAGATGATCTTGTGTGAAGTCACTTGGCAAAGGCAGCAGGTTCAGCTCCCAGCCCTGTTGCAGAATCTTTGTGATCTTATCAGTGCAGGTCCAAGCTGTGCCTGTCCCCAGAGCTCGTAGCTGTGAGTGTGCATGCTTGGCATGCAAACAGTGCTGGAATTAATTCTACTGGGAGAAAAACAGAAGGTACAAAGCAACATTTCCATTAACAATGTAATGTACTGTATTAGAAAACCAAGCAGCCAGCTGCTATGCTGAAAACACCTTTGCATTTCATCTCTAGCCGCTAACTCATCCTCCTTCCCAAAGGATCAAAATCCTCACAGGAAGTCTTTTCTGAGAGATGGCACCTGTTTCATGGGGTAAGAAAATAATTAAATCCCTTCCAGAGAAACGTATTCTCTGACACTGGAGCCTGTGCATTGCAATTTGTTGTTTTCACTCTTCCAGGGCTGAATTTGTGCACTTTCTTTGTTTTGTAACAGCCATGTTTCTAACTTTACGACACATTCTTCAGCAAAAGCCTGAGTCACCAATAGTCAGTGTCTCACCCTTGCATAAAGCAATGCAGGACAAAGACAGAAATGCTGCAGAAAAAGCACTTGACTGAAATCAGTGATTGTTTTTTCTCCTGCTGACAGGAACTGCTGCACAGAGGGAGAAATGCTGCGGTGACAAACTGTCCTCCTGTGCAGACCTGCATCATCTGCTCCCCCTGGACCAGCCTATGGCAGCCTCTGGACATAGTCTTGCTGCTACTGCAAACCACCTCTGAAACAAAAGATTTTGCAAGAATGAAGGAGACCCTTCTTGTCCCTGTCTTGTCAGCCAGATCTTGAAGCTCATTTGACTCTCCTGACTGCTAGTGTTGACCTAAGGCAAGCAGCAGGAATACAAAATAAGCTCTGGTAAGGGTGGGGCTAGTCTCAATAGGGCAGCACAGGCTTGAGCTAGAATATGCTTGTCATAAAACCACATCCTCGTGGGCTCACACACCAAAGCTTAACAGGTAAGACCCCAAGTGGTTTTTATTTTTTTTAATCAGGACTGATGTTTATTGAATGTTCCAGGTTTGCAGCATTAAATGAAATTGACAATTCTTCTATGAAAATGCCTTTGAAGTTTACATCATCTGTTTTCTTTGCCATCAGCAGTAACCAAAATGGAAAGAACAGTCAAGAAAATTAATCTTTGTCCAGAACCCCATGGAGGGCTGGCCTTGACTGACTGCCAGATATCTACCCAGATGCTTTCTCACTCCTCTCCTTGAAAGGGCTGGGGGAGAAAATGCCATAGAAAATCTCATGGTTTGCTAAAAGCACAGTTGTTAAGAAAACTTGTTTTCTTAACAAAAAACACTGCACATGGAAGCAAAGTAAAAAGTGGAATTCATTCACTAAAAAACCATCAGCAGGCAGATGTTCAGCTATTTTTTGGGAAGCAAGGCCTCAATAGGCATAGCAGTTTCTTGGGAAGATAGATTACATCACCACAAATGTCCTCCCATCATTCTTCTTTCCTTCAACTTTTATTTCTAAGGAGGACATCATATGGCATGGGATATCCCTTTGGTTATTTGGGTCAGTTGTCCCAGTTATTCCCCCTGCCAATCTCTTGTCCATCTCCAGCTTACAGACCTTCAAAGTGGTTGGAGGGGTGTTGGAGAGAAAGCCCTGACACTGTGCTAGCACTGCCCAGCAGTACCCAAACCCGTGTGCTACCACAGATGAAAGGCACAGAACCTCTAGGTTGCTGTGCAGAAAGTTGAGTCCATCCCAACCAAACCCAGTACAAAGGCAGTTTGAAAGCTGTCTGACACCTCGGAATTTCAGACTATTCTCATACAAGGTAGCCTGGAATCAGACACACTTCTATGACACTCTTTGATTGAAACTGCAACTAACGTCCACCTAGAGTTTAAAGTAATCCAAGATACCTTCAGTTTAGAACTGTGTGATTTTGCATGTGGCTTTTCAGTCATGCCCTGAAATACACAGACTGGATTTTTTGACTGTATACTCAAAGTCACTCTTTTCAGTGTGACCAAGCTGATTCTGTGCTTTGAGTGAATGAGAGAAAAATTAACCTAAATCACATACCTGTCTACCTACCTCCAAGGTGACCATGCATGATGTTTTCAGAAGAGACAGGTTAAATATGCTGTCAACTCCAGAAATACTGGTGCCTGTCAAACTTGTGCTGAGTGCTTGCACTTGTCCTGTTTGAATCAGTCAGACTGGGTTAACATGTTGGTGGGCTCTATTGTGAATTCTCACTGGCCTTTGCAAATAAAGCAAGCTGGAAAATGGAGGAAGCTGACAAAATCACTCATATCACAAGAAGGTTCCTGAACAGAAACCTCTTACTTCTAATTCCTATATGTAATGGCAAAGAAGGGTCGTTTGGCTCCTGTTCCTGTTCTACACAAGTGAAGAAATATTGCTAAGTGTGCTGCTGCCCTTCTTTTGAAGGGGCATCAATATCAAGCATTCATGTGCATGAATATATCCATGGTAAAAGGCAAATGAATACAGAAGGGGAGTAGTGTAAGAAGCATTAGGATCCAGCACAGTTTATTTGAACTCAGAACGAGTGCAGCTAACTGCAGCATATAGCTATATTAATAAATTTTCCAGATACATGTAATTCATTCTGTGTTAAAAACTGAAGTCCCCAGTATCTTTATTTTATAGTTGTTTAAAGGAAGCCTAGCATGCAAAGGAAGGAGTTAAGATAGTTAGGGGAATTATGAATTGTTAGTACAGCCAACAGGCCACCCATAAATGTGTATCAAATGTTGAGCTCAGCAGGAGTTAGTTACAAAACTAGGACATTTAATGAGTCATGAAGTGCCAAGAATAATGAGACATGGCATTAAACAAACCATTCCTGCCTCTCCTTGGCTTGTCCAGAGACGATGGCAAGAAGCCCTCTGCTGTTTCAGCTTTTCCTGTCAAAAGAAAACTTTGGACTCAACTGAATTATAGCCGTGGCTGAGCTGCCTCAGCCAGGGAGCTGGTGCCGCCCAGGCGGCTCTGGTGACAGAAGGATAAACTGGCAGCCAGCATCCCTTCTCTACTCCTTTGCAAGTCATTGATTGTAACATTTAATAGTGTTATATTCTTAGCTCTCCCTCTGCTTCCAGCTCCTTGCACGAGAAACTATTAATAGTTATATATCAATGAAGAATGGAAGAGGAAGAGGTCTTAGAGTAGGGTGGGAATTTGAAACATACCCTGGACGTCTGAGGGTAAGTCCCGTTGTTGGTTAAGTGTTAGAAGTGCTTAGCCAGTTGAAGGGTGACACTGTTGCTAGACTTCCCCTCACAATGGCTGTCAGGACCTGGAGTACTCCAGCAAGCTGTATTGCTCCAACCACCCTCCACCTGGCCCAGGTGCAGCATAAAGTTGAGATCCTTGCCTGAGAGCTGGCCTGAACTGTGTGAAATGTATGTTGTATCTAGGCTTGGCTGGAGTTCCTAGGTTGACCTCAGGCCTTCCTTATTACTTTGGCTTTGCCTGGACAGCACTGGGCTGCAGCTGGTTATGGTTATTGCCACTGGACCTGGCCTCATCACCTTGTCTGCCTCCCAGCTAAGCCCAGTGTTGCCATTCCTGGACTGCAGTGTCACTCATGGAGCAGTGCTCAACCTCATGGCTGTGGGGATTGTATGTGGTGCCAAAGGTGAACTCTGATGGCTGCCAGTAAAAATTCACAAAGCAGCTGCTAAATAGTGAGAAGAAACTAAAGTGTTGCAGGAAATGGCTCATGCAGCATAAGGGGAGGCATCTTTCCTGGCCTGCTGCTCCTGACACAGACCATTACCAGAAGCTGATGCTTCTTTGTTTCCCCATTTCTCTGCAGGTGTTTTGCTCTGCCCACAAAAGAAATTATAGATCTGCCTCATTCAATTTGCGTATCAGAAAAGTAACAGTGCTTGCTGTGAACTCTGCCTGCTTCTTTCTGACATGATGGGAAGAGTTTCAGATGGAGAGTCCCCTTAACCCAAAACATGTCTGAGAGGTGAACCATCACTTAGAAATTAACTTCTTCTTCGTGGGTTTTGTTAAGAGTTTAGTGTAGCCCAGATCATCTCCAGCTTCCTGAGTCTCCACTGTGTGACAAGAGTGCCATGGCTTGTGTAGCTTGCAGCAAAATGTTACACAGCCTTTATTGCACATGGAGGATGCTCCTGTAAGTTCTTCTCAGACCCATGGGTGAAATGCTGGATTTGCTGAGGAGAGCCCTATGAAAAATGGCTCTGGCCCACAAAGCTTTCAGATTGCCTGCAATGTCTTACCTGAAGTCACCTGATGGGTTTAGCTGGACTTTCTTTCACAAACAGAATAAGAATGTAAAGAAAAGCCTGCTGTGTGAAGACTCAGACCAGAGGGGCCAGGGAAACTTTATTCACCAACAGACATGGCCACTCCTGCTTGTCAAGACAAATACAGTGCCTCAACAATTGGTTTGGAGTTAGGGACTTCACCTGTCAAGGTGGAGTCAACTTAAGAACATTATCTTGGAGGAAGCCTCACTTTGTGGTATCATCAGGTCCAAAACTTATCCACAGCCTGAAATTAATTTTTAACTAAAAAAAAAAATAGGACTTTATAAACAATGATTCTTTTAGAAGTCACAAATTTCTCCCTTGTACAGGAAGACACTCCAGCCCTGTGTGGGGAAAAAAAAACCTCCGCCTGAAATCTGTGATAGATGAGCCTTGAAGGAGAAGCGGCTCTGTTGTACTTCTGTGTAGAACAAGACACTCACTTTGTTTTGCTTTATATCTTTTGTTAGAAGTCTGGAGCTTAAATTTTAAATCAAGTCTTTGGGAACGCACTGTGAAGCCGACCATCAGTATGAATAAAATATGTTAATAGGAACATGTTGAATTTAGTGCGACTGTTTGGCAATTTCTGTATTGCAGTGGGGAAGGACTTAGTTGTGGCAATGCAGAGTGTTGGGTTTTTTTTCTTTGCTCAAGTAAAAGACAGAATACAAATGAGGCTGTTGCTGCAGAATGCCAGGTAGTAGGAAAGATACACCATTTCCAGACTGGGTATTTCAGTGTTTAAAAAAAATTATGGCAATACTAGAACTTTAAACTTCTGACCCATAGAGATAGAAAGGCAGAACAGTGATGTCCCTAGATTCTTGTTATCATTGTATAAATCAGGAACATTCACTAAACAAGAAATATGCCGTTGCATTGCAAAACCCTGTATCCATCAGGTTTCACCTGCCTTTTTGGGGAGACAGGGTAAGGCAGCTGCCAAGGTTAAAAATTGCTTCCTAAATTAATGTTTCCATACTTCTCTAGATAACCTCTTAGCAGAGGAGTTTGCTCTTTGTGTAAACCACTTCTATTTACAGTACCATAGCTCCCTAATTCAACCAGTGTAGTTATGATTTCTACTTGTGGAGTGACCCTTGCAGGACTCTTTAGACACAGTGCTTTTCCTGCTCTCCTACTGCCCCCCACTCCATCCCCTTACATGCATCTGCTTCCTTCCTACTCACTTGTATATATTTTAGCCCTACCCAGTTCTCAGTTCTCAGCTCTGCTGAGAGGCTCTTCATTCCCTCAACCTACTTTGACTCCCTCTCCCTCCTTCACTTGTTTCTCAGTGTTTCCCCTGCTCTCTACTGGATATATCTCCCTCACTTTCATCCAAACATCTTTAAAAGATCCAGTTGTGGTGGCAGCCACTTGTAAATGCTTGACAGATGGCAACTGATGACTTTTTGGTGCTCTGCTCCCTGGTTTTTCTCATCTTATTTGAACCGGGCAATGTGTACACAGCACATTGGGAGCAGGAGCATTCAAAGTTCTTCCTCCTTTGCTTTGAATTATTTCAGAATCTTCCTGGGCCTGAAGCTAAGGGAAGTGCAAGCAGCCACCATACTGCTTGCTGGTTCTCCTCAGCACAGGGTAGAAACTCAGTTTCTACTACTCAGTTTTTAGTTTTACTGACCAGTATCATGGTGAAGGCTATGGAGAAGGGTCCATCTATCTCTGTACTAAAGCTTTTCATGGCGAATCCTTCCTTTCTTTGTGTGCAACATACTGTCAGGAGAGAGTTTGATGTGGCTCAGGCAAGGCATGGTATCCCCACCTTTTGTTGCTCTGTTGGTCTTGCTGCAAGCTCCAGGGAGGCAGCCCTGTCTTGTTCCCAACGTAGTCCACCAGTCCCTGCAGTGACCAGAGCTGCCCACAGCACAAAGTCCCAAACAGAATGACTCCAAGGGAAATTGCAAAGCCTGGTCTTTCACAGCTGGCTGACATGCCTCTTCTTCTGGACCAATTAATAGGGAGGTTGCATTTCTCCATAATTTCCCTGAGGACTGAACACATCTCAGCAAGTGAAAGAAAAAGGGTGGTGACTCACCTCTCGACCTGCTTAATTCTTTCCAGGATAGTCTTTCTCATGAAGAATTGAGACTGTCTGGGATATACTCATGAGACAAACTAATATGCTAAAATCTGTCTCAAATCCAAATGAAAATTTGAAATATGATAAAACACTTGCAGCACTACAGTCATCAAAATTAAAGTGCTTTTTTTACAGTTATATAACTTCTCCCCAGCACAGAACAAGACTCCATTTCCCATCCCTTTGCTTTGCCTTGTCGGGCTGAGTCAACTCCTTGACCCTTCCTTATTTTACTTCACTCTAGAAAGAGCTTGAACAAAGCAGGAAAACTGAGCCCCTAATCTTAAAAATCTCCTGCATGTTTTTTAAGATCAGTGAAATTATGAAACTTTGGTTTCCTTGTTCTTAGACATAGTTTTTGCAGAGGCATCACAGGGGTGAGATCTGCGCCTAATAGCAATGCTGCCTTTTTTTTCAGGCAATGATAGAAAAGGTCTTTCTGACCTGCAGAGCAGTCTCAGAGCAGAGTTGCCTCTAGCTGCATTGTCCCACCTCTTACATTTGTCAGGCAGTTGACAACTTCAGTTGACAACTTCAGTTGACAGCTTATGGATTTTTATTCTATTTTCTTGCAGCACAACCTCTTCCAAATACCAGCATCTGTCTCTTCTCTGAGGGGACCTATCTAGCATCTGGCACCAGCTTTGTCTCGATTTTTGACTCTGTTTGGGACAAAATCTTCTGACTTGCCTATCATGTAGCATACTGCTCACACAGACTTTTTAGATGTGCTGTGCATGGTGCACAGGAACACAACTGCAAGATGTGACACCGTGCTGAGAAGTCTCTTCCCTGGAACCTCTTGGAGGGAGAAGCTCTCACTCACTGCATTATCTTGACCTTGTTCAGAAGCAAAGGTGCAAAAGTATTTCTTGGTCCCAGAGTCTAGACAGTCACAGGTTTGATCAGGACTGAATTTATACTGTTTCCTACAGAGAGTACTGTTGTGCTCATGGCCCTGTGGTGACCTTGGGGCACAGCATGCAGAGGGATGTCCCTAGGAGTTTAGGGCTGAACATGTTGTTAGCATTGTCTTGTCCTTGCCTAATACCATATTCTTGAAAGAAAGGAGTCAGGATTGAGTGTCCCTTGGACAGAACATTAGCTGATCAAAGCATAGATATTTCAAAGTGATTTATTCTGGTAAAGATTATTTTCTTGCTTGAGAGTTGCTTATTGTTTGTGCTCTGTGGCAGTGAAAGGCCAGTATGTGATGAGGAAAAGGTGATCTTTAATTTAGAACAGGAGAAGTGAATCAACAACCCAATAGCTGGAACTGCATTTGGGACATTGCTTGGCACCCTCCTGTTCTTATGGCTTGACCGTGTCTCAGGATTTCAAATCTTTGGATCCAGTCCAGGATTTCTGAAGAAGTCATCAGTCTTTCCCAGCAGTAAGAGGTAGTGCAGAGAGCATAGTGGGTTAATGATGATAAAAATACCAATAAAAATAGTCTGACAAAATTTCCCTCAACAACCATTTTCGCATATTTGTTGTTTTGATGCAACATTTCTGGGTTTATTGACAGAAGCAGAAGCACTTTCTCATCCTTCCATTTTAGAAAAAATAGTTTGTTTATTTTTCACCTCCTTTTCTCCTCTTTATACCAGTTGCTAAGGGAAACAGAGGAGTAAACAAAAGGGGGAAACTGAGAGGGATAAAGGAAAAGAAAACAATTCAGATTTTGTTATTTTGAATGAATTTTTTCAACCAAACCCAGCTATATCGTTATGACAAAAATACAAGAAACTCCTTTCAGCAAAAGCTACTGGTTCTCTGTGCTTTCTCAAATCAATTCCTACTGCAAAGGCTAGCATGAGGTATCCAGAAAATGCTGGCTCCTGACAACGTGGCTGTTTGGTTTTAAAACTGCAGAAATGCAATGATAAACAGCAAATCTTAAGTGTTTTCTTAATAATTATCAATATCTGCTGCTTCACTTTACAAAGTAACTTTAGGTTGCTCCTTTCTGCACCAGTGAACAAACCCTCCTGAGATTCTGCACATTCTGGTCTGGTAGGTGTGCTGCAGGTGTGCTGGAGTCCTGCTCCAAGAGGATTATTATTATTATTATTATTTATTATTATTATTTATTATTATTATTTATTATTATTATTTATTATTATTATCATCATCATCATCATCATCATCATCATTGGTGAGAAACTTCGTCTGCCATTCTTGAGCTGAAATCAGTGAAGCTCTGCAGAAAATAGGAGGTGAATAGCAGTGATGCAGCAAAACTGTTTCCTAGGAAAAAAACTTTTCTACAAGGGTTCACACTGCTCTGCAGAGACCAAAAGAGTCAAAACAAGTACTGTACACTTTTAGGCAGTATCAAACATATTTTAGCAAAACTGATGCTCTTTATGGAGTTCTAGACTACTTTTCCACTAGCCAAGAATTACGCTGAATGGGGAAGGAAGTTTGAGCCATGCAGTCCCAAACCAGTAAAGTAGCAAAGGGTTCAAAAGGGAAGTGATCTCTGATCTAATGCAAAACTTGATATATATTTTCAAAATACATCTTGGCTGCAGCAGCGAAGTAGATAGAATCAGAAGTAATTCTGACTAGTATGCTGGGGTTCAGCCCAAAGAAAAATTTCTAAAGGGAAAAAATAAACTTTATAAAAGAATACACTGAGCAAAATGGAGCTGTCATAAATAATATTCCTTCTACACCTTCATTCTTAACCCTGAGCTGCATTCTGTGGGTAAAAGTAGCTGCTGCTAAGATGTATTTTGAAAATATATATCAAGGTTTGCATATCAAGTGGGAGGGCTGGAAAGAGAAGCAAATACACTGCCAGGCCCAGGGTGTGGTGGATTATTAAAAGTCAAAACATCTTGCCATCTGATAATGGGATCAAAATTCATTCTTACGGCTGCTTCAAGAGGTCCATGCACATGTCATTCTATGAAAGGATGAGTAAGAACTCTAGGCTGAAGCAAAAACTTACCAACTTATCATGCAAAAACTTATCAAAACTCATCCCCTCATCCAGAGGGGAAATTAAGGTTCCCCGCTGGTCACTGAGTAAGGACCACAAAGCAGATTCTCACAGGCTAAAATTCTAGACAGAAAAAGTTTGACATCTGAGTTATCTAGGTCCTTAGTGTACAAGGTCAGGAGTCAGTCCAGCTTTTTCTGAGTACCTAATTCAGAAGTTTTGCCTAGGGATGCTGTAGATTGCTCACGTTACCTGTTATTTGAAGATACATACAGAAGCATTTATAGCACATTTCCACCCAAGATCAATGCAGTGGTGCCGCAGTGCACCAGAATCCCTCAGTACCACAATATTGTACCACAATATTGGCAGAGAAGACTAAGAGCCATTTGGCAATGGAAGAGCATAAGTTTAAGAAGGGACAGAGCAAACCTTTTTAGTTCCTTTATGCTAGGCAGGAGATACGGAAAGAAATAATGGATCACATCACAGGGGTTTC